ATTTTCATAGCTAAGGTATATTAATAAAAGTCATATGGAAGATGTAATTGAAGAAAGGTCCATAATTAAATTATGTGGCTATGTATTATGTCCTAATGCATTAACATCTGTGGTCAATCAAAAGTACCGTATTTCAACAAAGGAGAATAAAGTTTATGATGTAACTAGACGTAAAAATTTTTGTAGTTCACGATGTTATGGAGCATCGAATTACCTTTTAGAACAAATGTTAACAAGTCCACTTTGGCTGAGAGATAAAGAAGAAATACCAGAATTTAAACTTTTGCCAGATGAGTTGATAAAAAGTGTACCTGGAGATGAAATTCATGTCTGGGATGTAAATATAACATTAAATTCTAATAGCAATGAAAAAGCTGAAGAACTAAATGAAATATGTAAAGATTTAAAAGAAGAACCTTTGGATAAATTTTATACATATGATGATTGCCACATGGTAAAAAGTTCTCAAACAATCAATGAAACCAAGGAAATAAATGTTAACATTGAAACAGCAAAAGTCACGGAAAAACTATCTTCATCAAGTTTTGATAAAGATCCAGAGTATATGAAAAGCGAATCCATTAATTTACAGGATACAGCTATTAATTCCAAACAATATGTAAATGATGATACTAACAAAGAAATTGGTACTTCAGAAAATGTTATACTGCTGGATCATTTAGTACCTTCAGATGTTACAGTACTAAATAATGATACTATTTCCTTAAATGAAGACAGAGATTTGAATAAGATTAATAATGAAGAACAAAGTAAACTATCTAAAGTATTACAAACGAAATGTAATACAACTGTTCTTAAACAAAACACTAACATTGATAGTAGCCATCTTATAGCAGACATAAAAATGAATAAATATAAGAAAGATAAACAAAAACATTGTGTTAAAGTAAAACAATCGTGTGAATTTTATAATCTTGCAATGCATATTGAATGTAATTTAAAGGAATGGATTACTGAAGATACTCTTTGTCTATTATCAGGAGAGGAAGGCATTAAACAGCAGTTAATAGATAATGTAATACAGCATGACAGATACTTGCACTTGTGTAAGAAGCTAAATAAATTACAATTAGATGATGAAAAAGACGATCGTGTAGATTTAACTAAAAGTACTTTAAAACCTTTACCACATTTGTCTGCTCTCCAAGAAGAAGGAAAGAAAATCGAATTAAAAGTAAATATCATCAGTAGAACTTTAACTGTATTTAATGATTACTAATGTGTTAAATATAATTTTTAGGTGCGAGCATTCTACAAAGGTGATATGGTTATAGAAACTCCAAAAAAGGCTACAGAAGACACAGAGCAGAACGATGAGTTTGTTCCAGTGGTACCTCTAACAGATGGGCACGCACCTAAAGCGCTTAGGCGTAGAATATTTTTGGATAAACTTCATAGGATGTAGTGTCACTTTTTACATATATATGCTTATCTTAAATTTATGTTTCTGTGAATCTTGACAATTATTTTTATTACAGATTACCCGATTTAATACGAGCTTTAACCGGTAGTGGGTTATCACAACATACTTACAGTAATGCTTTAATTAAAGCATTAGTTAACACTTTTTCATTGTCGGCTACCAATATTATTTTTAAAACTGCTGAATGGACTCTCGTTGGTCTCGTCATTATTAAAATGTGAGTATCGTAAGTATATTATAATATTAAATATTGTTAATGTTTTACCGTATTTTTCAGGTTGAGCATGATAGATCCACAATTAAAAGTGTTATTATCCGGTAGACAGGCGTCAATGTATATTTCCATGATTTTAATGTCATATAAATTGGATTCAAATTATTTGGATAGAATAGTCGCGGAACTGACTAGTAATACAAAAGTAGTTGATACAGATAATACTAATAATTTCTAATGTATTTAAATTATATACATTATTTCTATCCTTTTAAAGCGTATTGTTTATATTAGGAGTTTTCAATTGACATTACATTATTATAATCATTTTGAGAATAAATGTTTTTGTATTTACTAATGAAAATAAAAAAAAAATAAAAAATACATATTTGTATGTAATATTTTGCATTCGTATGAAAATATAAAATTCAAGTAAGATGAGATACATAGAAATAGAAAATACAATCGCCTGCAAGTAAATTTACTATAAAATAAGGTTCATTTTTTTCACAATACTAAATAGCAAAAACCTGTATTCTCTAGTTTTTACAGCGAAGATGGTGTAGGTACACCGGTAAGAGGAGAAGGTGGACAATCAAGTCCTAATGTATCCATTTGTACTGCTGTCCCTAACTGATCTTCTGTAGATCGATTCCCAATTTTATCACGTAAAGCTTCATAGAGGTTATGTACAGCTTCGTTATGCTGAAATGATAAATATTAAAAACAGTACATACGCTATTTTTTTGTCTTCTTTTAAATAAGTGTACCTGACTAGTTGGTTGAAGTGCTTTCATTAATGTATGTAGACGGGTTGGTGGTAATTTTGAATGAATATACCAAAGAAGTTTTAATAAATGACGTGTAACATTGTCTCTGCCTAAGCCTGCCAAGAAGAATTCATCAAATATCACTGTACAGAATGATTCGTTAGAAAATTCATCGGCCATATTTAATATTAACAAAGATACCTATAAAAAATAAAATTTTATTTTATACTGTAATTATATTTATAGATTTATCCAAGTTTGAAATTATATTGCTTTACCAAAGTATGTAAAAAAGGATCTTCGAATGCACGTTGCGCTTGACAATTCGGTAAAGTCGCCAATACTCTCATTAATCCTCTAGCATCGCCTCTTCCTCTTCCTACTCCACTACCTCCGCCTACATGCAATGCATAATACATAGATAAAACAGCTGCAACTCCTGAGAGTTGTGCATATGCTTGACAAGCATCAGGAGGTGGACCAGAATGCTCAATGATAGCAATTGCACTTTCTCTTTCATCAGGCGGCAGTTTACAATTTAGTTGTCTTATTTGATCATCTACCTGAAAAATAAATGATTGATTGCTGACTTTATTGTACATGTTTAAAGTAGTTTATTGCAGTCTATATATTAATTTACCATCAAAGACATAAGTGCTGGTAGAAACTTTGTAACAACTTGACTATCCAATTTTGGCTCCTTGAAATCTTGTGAATCAATCATTTGCCAGGCAGACAAGCCTAATGCAAGCATTCTTAATAGCAGTACAAGAACTGCATTTTCTCTAGGCAATGATTCACCATTTATTAAATGGAGTGCTATTTTTATTGCACTGCTAGCAAGAAAGTTTACCGCATACGGGTCGCATAACGTCATGCTCAAGTCCCCTAATACCTGTTCTTGTCCTCTCTGCATAAAACTATAGATCATTTCACCTTTCTATTATGACAAGAATTGATATTATAAAGTGTAAGCTTTATTATACCTTAATACTATCCAAAAAACCTTGTAACTCACGGGACCTTTTGATATCAACATTTTTTTCTCTAATGCATGCATCAAGGCACCATGTAAATTTATGACATGGATCAACAGAAATAATGTCTTGTACCTAAACATTAAATATTTATTTAATTAATCTATTCAATTTTATGTGATGTTATGTAATATAATTTAATATGATATAAACAGACCTCTAAATCATGTAAGGCCATTAGTAATTCAGCTCTTAATGTACAATAATGTATATTTTTTGTACGTAAAAATAGGGTTCTTAAAAATTGTAATACCATATCATACAATTTTACACTATGTCCAATCATATGAGCTAGTTTTTGTACTACTTCACCTTGTCTTCTCACCTGGGAATCAAAATTATAAAATATAACAAAGATTGCAATTTCTCCTTTAGCAAGTTAGTTGGAATATACCTTGGGAGAAGGAGTGAAGAACAGACTGTTTAAATTCCTATGATCAAACAGTATTTGCTCTTTTTCAATAATGTATCTACTAAATAAAGGAGAAACTTCATCTCCAAATAAACTTTGATTATCTTTCCAAATTTGTCGTTTAACTTCAGTGTCTGCATCATTATACAATTCTTTTTCTCGAACAAGTACACGTAAATATTTATCTTCTATGTGTGGTGTGTTTCTTAAAATGCACATAACAACAGGTCTTAATGCTGAAACTCTTACAGCTGGAAAACTTTTGGACAGTAACTCCTTCAGTCTTCTATCTCCTGCTGAACCTTTGTCAGCTCTTTCTGTTCCAATCTCAGTAATTCGCTTCACAAGTTTTTCTCGTAATTCTTCGAGGACAGATGCATGAAAGTCCAATCTTCTGACTCCATGAAGATCAAGTAAAGGTAACATAGGTCGCAAGGATGGCAGCAAAATGCCATTTTCTAACTGAAATTCTTCAATTGCTTTCAATGGATCTGTGCAACTTGTTAGAGCATCTCTTAAGAAAACTTGTCCAGGTATACCAAGATCCTCCAAACCATTTCCAGTTTCACAGTTATTTTTTACAGTATTCATTATTATTTTTGTTTATACAATGCTGCTTTTCATGAAGTATATATTTACAACACTGTGTAGACTATACAAAAATTGTGATTTATTTTATAATGTAAATGATCTTCATTTTCAATTACAATTGCTTTCAATTGAAAATTTTTAATCACTTTTTATCACTGTAGACAGTTGCACATAACTTTATAGTGTTTGAAATGACTGATATTTGCTAAATATTCTAATATTGTACGAACGTATGTATTTATTTGTTTACTAGTAACTAAATAGTTTGCACAATAACATTCTTCCTTTAATGCCTAAGTTGACACTCACAGTTTATATACTTACTGCTACAAGTAAAAAGCAAAAGTAAATAAGTGCAAGAACATGAATAGTGTATGGTTGTGTGCAATTGCGTATACACGTTTTCCTCCTCTCTCTACAGAATACTTACTGTATAGGGCACTATATACGTGTACATTATGTATCTATGTATGTATATATATATATATATATATATATATATATATATATATATATATATATAGATAGATAGATAGATAGATAATACGAATGCAGCACCAGATGAATATGTGATGTATGAAGATTAAAATAATATAAAAACTGTATTTAAATTGGAATTATTTTGAATATGATACAAATAAAAGTGTAAATAAGATATCGAAATCAAATTATCTATAAATTCATGAAGTGATCTTACAATTCAACAAAGAATAAGAAGTAAACGACGAAGTTTATATATAAAAACAGCATTGTAGGTTACGTTTCCATTTACAATGGCACAGTCAACAGCTAGTGGAACGTCTTCTCGACGTTATATGAGAGAACATGATGTTAATGTACCATCCTCATCACGTTATGTGGATAGTGACTGGGAAACCAAAGAGGTGATTGTTTATTACTTTTTATTTTTATCATTTATTGGTTTATTTTTAACTATTTGTTTTTATTTGAACATTTGCAAATTAAAGGTTTAATATTTGAAACTTTAGAGTTACATTGCTATTTTTAAAATATTTTATTGCAACAGTACTTTGACATATCCTTATTTATTAAAACATTAAATGTTTGATTCAAAAGCTTTTGTGAGCTCATTGCACAACAACTTTTAGGCTCTACGACAAAGAGAGCTGGAAGAAGCTCGTGCACGAGCAGCTCAAATGGAGAAAACAATGAGGTGGTGGTCAGATTGTACTGCTAATTGGCGTGAAAAGTGGAGTAAAGTACGCAATGAGAGGAATGTGGCAAGAGAAGAGGCAAAGATGCTTAGAGCAAAGTTAGAGATTGCTGTAAAGGATGCGAGCAGTTATAAACATGAGTGTCAGGAATTGGAATTACAAAATGAACAATTGAAAAAAGAAATGGAGAAAGTACATATGGTACTGTTGAAGCATGCTGGACAGTTTGACCAACAAATTTTTACTGTCTTGGAATCAGATCCACAATTAAGAAATACACTAGGTATAGATGAACTTTTAAAATTTTATAATAATGTAGAACAGAGCGAAAGTGTGAGTTCTCAAAAGGATTTACTCACATCTAAAGGTTCATTTGAGGAATCTAGTGTATGCCTAGGAAGTCATAATATTTTACCAGACAGAGATATTGAAGAGTATGTGTTACAAGGGGCAGTACCAAAGCATGCTGTAGAATTATATAAAGAGAATTCTATTAATTCATTGGATAAAGATATTGCAAGATTAGTTACAGATGTTAGTTCTATAGAAGATAATGTAGAGAAGCATCAATCCTTGTCACAATTATGTAATGATGAATCTGCTGCACAAAAGATATTAATACTTCAACATAAATTGGAGGAAGCAACAAAAACTATTTTTACAGAAAGAGAGTAAGAATATGAAATGGCATCTTTTTATTTTCATTTCTATCTTTACTTATTTAAATAATTAAAATTTTTTTTATTAGAGAGAAGAATTCTTTACATCGTGGTATAGAGAAGTTAAAAGCAGAATTAATACAATTAAAAAAACAATGCGATGAATTAGAAGAAAATAAAGCCCAAGCTATGAGGGAATTACTTATATTAAAAGATCGGTTTCAAATTGAGCTTAGCGATGTGCAAGCTGATTTGATCGACGAAGCTTCAAGCAGAGAAGGCATGAATCGCCGTTTGTCTGAACTTAGAGCTGAAGTAAGTTTTATTAATACATATTTACGATAAGTATTTAAAGGATTATTATTTTTGATAATTACACAATTATAGTTGGAGAAGCTTCAAGCTGAAAATGCCGCAGAATGGGGGAAACGAGAACGTTTGGAAACAGATAAAATTTCATTGGAACGAGAAAATAAACAGCTTCGTAATGAATTACATGATCTACAAGAAAGAATAGAATCTCGACGATCGCGTCCGGTTTCCACATCTGACAGTGATACAAGACAGTTACAACAAGAACTTTTGGTTAGAAATACGGTTTGTATTATGAAGTAACGTGTGATTTTCAATTAAACGTAATATAAAATATATTATACTTATTCGATAAATTAAAAAATTTTCAGATATTAAAAAAATCTTTAGAAGAGAAAACGACAGAGCTCTCACATGCAATGAGAAGATCAGAGCAATACGAGGCAGAAGTGAAGAGAGTAAGATCAAGAGTTGAAGAATTGAAGAAAGAATTAGCTGCAGCTCAGGATGAAGTAGATGCCGCGGCTAATAGTGTTCGCAAATTGCAACGGGCGAATGAAGATCTTTTAGAGCAATTAGAATCTGCTAACGTACAATTAGAGCACTTCCGAAATAGGTAAATAATAACAATCCTGATTAATAGTTGTATGATATTACATGTCTACATTTTTCTAGTTAAATTGTAGAATAATTACTGACAATTAATTTGTTATCAGTACTGGTTCCTACACAATAGATGTAGGGATAGGAGAAAATATCGAAGAAAAATTACGTACAGACAATGATGACAAATTATCAGATGGTAAATTTCATTATTTTATATAGGCGGTGATTTCAATATTAAAATAATATTGTGTAAATATTGTTTCAGGATATGAATATCAAGAAGCCTAGTATACACTCATATCAATAATATCATATTTGATTTGAGTGATATATGCGAGTTTGGAATGTGAAAAGTAGTTTCCTAAATTTTCCAGTATGGATACGCCTGTCGGTTTAGCAGTACTTTTAATTGTGAATAGCTATTAAAGATGTAGGCAAGATTAATTTATTTTACAGGTGAGCTTGAGTTATGAAAAATCACTGCCTATCTCAGTATTGTATTATTGTTTAAAATTATTAGAATATTTTTCTAGATTTGTATTACTTTTTTTTTATTTTACTGTATATACTTATCTTTTTGTACTCTTTCTTTTACTTCGAAAATGTTTTTTATATATCTGCATTTGTGAAAAGTTCACATTCCAATATATATTATTTTTTAAATATTTTTATTGCATGTATATAAACACTGTATATATACGTAAATGATATATGTAATTATAAATTTTGCCTCTTACCTAAAGACTGGTGAAATTGGAAAATGTGTGATGATCTGTACCATCTACGATACCTGATATTTATAATTACAATTCCCATGATGTCACAAATCTATATGTAAAATAAGTAAAACATTTGTGCGCGTATCTATCTATGTTACGTAGTAACTATTATACTAATTTTAAGTAGAAGAATTAGTATTTCAATTTTCATTCGTCTATAGAAAATTTTACTAGAACATTCAACATAAATGTTTATCACTTGGTGCAATTTACAATTGAAGGAAAATAGAAAACAGAACTTTTTATTTGTATAATATGTGTTTTATTGATAAAGTATTTATGGATAAATACTAGTAGCTGATGTAGCATTATTAAATCGATAATGATGTACATTCAGTAAAATTACCTCAATAAAAATGATATATATACTATGTATGTATGTAAGAGACAATAGGAGTATGACGTATATTCATAAAGTGTATGAACGATCATAAATATTTGTGTTTGTAATTAATGCAAAAAAATAAAAAAGAAGGATAGTCTAAATTGTAATAAAAAAAAATTGGAGCAATGTATGAAAATCAAATGAAAAGGAAAGTTTTCCTAAGCAATATGAGACTTAAGAATTAATAAAATCCTGTTAACATTTCATAGGCGTACCATCGGGATGTGTTGGCATCTTAGGTTTGCAGATTTTCGTCCTACCATTAGAACCATATACAACGTTACACGAGAATGTAAAATATCCACAGGTAGAACTTTTAGTATAATAGCGATGTTCATATTTTCTCGGTGAATTTCTACTATCGTCCATTTTACCAGCAAAGCTATTCGTTACTGTATAATAACTTTGTTTTATTGGCACATCAGTAGTAGGCTTGGAATATTCCATAGACGTTGGATAACTTTGAACTCTGGGATTGTTATATTTTTTATGTTTATCTTTGAATGAAGCACGATCTTCGACTAATCTCTCGTGATTAGTTTTAAGCGATCTGATTTCTGAGATGGGTGATTTATTCTCACGAGTAATATTTGGTTCTACTGGAGTTAAAGAAACAGTTTGAGATTGAGACTTTCCGTCGCCGTGAGCAATAGTTACGTCACCAGCTACGGATGTTACCCTGCCACGGAATCCAGGTGGAATTGTGTATCCTGGTAACGATTGTCCTGGTTGCAGCATATCGCTAGTCTGCGGCGTATTAGAATCCTGTTTCACGCGAACATCATACCGATTCCCAGTTGTAAACTGTATCGTTTGTGATTGATGATCGTTAGTATTTGATTCTACGATAGTAGCTTTCGATTGTTTTGAATTCATCGAAGTTTGCATCTGCGTGCTATCGTAATCCTCACCATCGTATTCTTCGTCGTATTCGTACATAGTATCGTCTACTTGCGATTTTTCAGCGGACTGATTTTGACTGATACCCACGTTTGGAGAATTTTCTGTCGGTACATTAGTAATAATTGTCTTACGAGAACTTGAACTTGTATGTAAACCTGGCGTAGATTTATCTTGATTGTACTCGTCTACGGATACGTTTGTTACATCGCTTCTATTATCTTTTCCAGTTTGCGGAGTGTTATATGGTTTGAAAGAATGAAATATCTCGGTGTCCGTGCGGCTGAAATTGAATGGTTTTCTAGAGGCTACTGCACCAGATCCTGAGCCTGCTTGAGCAGCGCCTGAATAAGTAATTCCATATTGGAAGGATCCTTCCAGTTGAGATTGAGATTGACCTCTATTCGTTCCACTTTGAGCGGATGCTGTTCCTCCTCCGCGAAAAGGTTCCGAATGTCTTTCAAGTTTCTCGTTTGTTTTCAGATAAGGTTGAAAACCAATTTGCGCTTGACTCGAGGTACTCCCTTCGCCATTTGCTTGGGCATCAGCCATTCCACCCTTCGAGCTCGCTTGCACCTGAGAGTTAGTCCCATGGTTCCATCCACTACTTTGCGCACCTGTGGATGTAGCCCCAGACTCAGAGTCCAATTGAACTTGTGCCTGACTTTTTCCATAACCACCTGTTCCTTGGGAATTACTCATAGCACCGCCTTTACCACCGCTAACTTCCGTTTGAGCACTTTTGTTATTGTCACTGCTACCAGCCTGAGCTGAGAATGATCCAGAACCAGTGTACGTACCGCTTACTTGAGATTGGGCTGTACCTTGGCCGTGCGTTCCTTGAGCCGACGCACTCGCTTGTGTGCCTGCATCAGTTTGTTTTACAGAACTAGATGCTTGAGAATCGGAGTTATCGTCACCTGTAGTTGCAACACTGACGGGTTGTTGATAATACTGGGAAGGTTCTCTGATGTTTGCCGCGGGTCTTGTTCCAGTTGGATACTGTAACCCTGGATATTGTTGCCCGTTAGTTTGTCCTGCGCCTGGGTACTGTCCAGTTCCTTGTCCACTAATACCTCCTGTCATACCTGGAGTAGATTGACCTTGACCAGTAGGCCACGCTACTGTGCCAGGATAGTGTCCTTGTTGCGATGGATACCCAGAAGGAACGGTACCAGGACTGCCTGGATATTTTCCTACTTCAGGATATTGAATCACACTACCATCTGGATATTTTTGTACAACATTGGGATATGGTAATTGCGATTGCGCGCTTGGAGGATATAAGACTTGGTCAACTTTAGGCTGTGTAACTCCAGGATAAGATACAATTCCAGCATCAGGCGGTACAGCAATGTTTGGTACATTAGCTCCTGGGAAAGTGCCACTTGGGTATAATCCTGTACCACCTACTCCTGTAGGAATACCTCCGGGATAATTTATGCGGCCAGCTGTTACAAGTTGCCCTGGAGTTCCCGTTGCGATACTTCCAGGATATGAAGTAGTTCCTTGTATTACAGCACCTGGTCGTGTAATACCACCAGGATAGACGATAGTACCTGGACTGCCATCGGGAGAAGAACCAATTACAACCATACCAGGATACAAACCGCCAGGAATTTGTCCTGGGTATATTTTAGTATCTGCAGTTGCTTTCGAGTCCGTTATAATTCGACCACCTCCTGTTGTTGTAGTACCAGGCACACTACCAGGATAAACTGTACCACCTCCTGTTGTTGTAGTACCAGGCACGCTACTAGGATAAACTGTACCACCTCCTGGTGTTTGAATACCAGGCCCACTACCAGGATAACCACCACCTCCTACTGTTGTCGTGCCAGGCCCACCACCAGGATATACTGTACCTCCTCCAGTTGTTGTGGTACCAGGTACACTACCAGAATATATTACTCCACCTCCTGGAGTTTGAATACCAGGCACACTACCGGGAAAAACTGTACCACCCCCCGTTGTTGTAGTGCCCGGTACATTACCAGGATATACTACTCTACCTCCAGTTGTTGTAGTACCAGGTACACCACCAGGGTAAACTGCTCCACCTCCTGGTTGTTGAATACCAGATACACCACCAGGATAAACTGTACCAGCTCCAGTAGTTGTAGTACCAGGCACACTACC